CATTTTATTCCCATAACTATATGGAAATCTTATTAAAATAGTTTAATTGAAGAGGTGGGGGTGGACTCTGCGATCTTGCATTTCTACATTTTTTTTTTCATTTTTTTCATGAGAGAGAGAAGTATTCAAGACAAGGTCTCCTGGGGGTGGACTCTGCGATCTTGCATTTCTACTTTTTTTTTTCATTTTTTTAATGAGAGAGAGAAGTATTCCTGACAAGGTCTCTCCTTTGAAGCCTCCTAATTAGCTAGGATTACAAGTACATGCTACCAATGCTCAACCTTTCAGGTTGACCTGAACCCTGGTCTCCCACATGGCCCCAGCCTTACACCGTGATATTCTCCCACTTGCATCACTGCAGGTGGGTCTGAGATCCTGTAGTTCTAATAAGTTTCTAGGTAATGCCAATGCAACTGGTCCAAGGACTTCTCTTTGAATAACAAGACTCATAGCAGTCTGAAGAAACCCATGTAGCTGTTACAGAAACCATCGACCATTGCATTTTATTCCACATATTCAATTCTTCTTATTTGAGTCTAGGAGACATGGGTTCTTATCAGTCAACAGGCCAGCTCTACTTAGCACTTTCCTTTGCATATCCACATGGAGAAAATTACTCCCATTCCGATGTCCCTAAAGGCTGGTTGTATTTAGCCTTGCTGCTTATCTGCCAGTGTAGGTTTTTTTCAAAGGATGAAAGCATTATCTAATAACAGTACCTTACGTTTACATATGGTTTATAATTTACCAAATGTACTCACACATGTCAACTCATATCAGCCTCACAATGATCCTTGGAGTTAGAACAGAACAGATGAATTATAAACCCTGACAAGCTCTGACAAGCAAGCAGAATGCTTTCAGAGTTGGAGTGTAAGAAGAAAGGGCCATTAAGTCTGAAGATCAAAAATGAGTAGTTTTAAGAAAATGAGGAATAAGGGAAACAACATTCAAGAAGGGAGGATGAATTCAAACTCCCTGTAGATTTATTGAGCTACTACTCTGAAGTCCAATTAAATCAGCAGGAGCAAAGATATTTTGACTATTCTGTGAGAAGAATATGCCATTAGAAAATTTTATTTCAGAGACTGATATAATCAGATTCATCATAGAAACATTTGAGTCTAATGTAGGCAAGGCTGGTGAAAATAAATTCAGCCAGGGTGCTATTCAAAAGGAAGAAGTAAAAAATGATGAAGGCATGAACGGAAGCAATAACAGTAAAAGTGCAAAAGATATTTATAGGATTTTGTTCCTAATTGAATATAGAGTATGACAGAGGAAACACTGACAGTTGAAGCCATCAAAAAAATAAACTTTTATATCTTAAGGCCAATAAAAATGTTAATGACCTTTGACCTAATTATGCCTGGCCTGAGATTTCAAACTAAGGAAATAAAATTCCCAAAGCAAAATCTCTTTCTACATTTTGCACAACTATGTTTTTCTATTTTTTGTAAATAAAAGGATATGATCCTCAAAAGAGAAAAATGAAGGATCAAAGACAAAACTATGCCCTGAATTCAAGGAGAAGAAGAGAAGAGGTGCTATGGCAATACCAATATAGGAATGCCAGAGGGAGAGGGTGGGGAACTTGCAAAGCCTGAATGCCAAGGAATGTGAAGGTCAAGAGAAGGGACTAGAGCAGAGCAGAAGTCTGCAGAAAGGTTTGGATGACCCAGTTGATGAATAATCATGGCAGAAGCCACCCTGCCTGTGTACCTTTGTAGGAAGAAAAAAACAGGGCCTCACCTTATGCCATCTGAATTAGAAAGTCTGCAAGTGACACCCCCCCCACCAGACACACATCTTAAACACTCCTCAGTATCTACCCAAAGGATAGGAATACACTCAGTCAGAAAAACAGTTGCACATCAACATTTATCGTGGCATTATTCACAATTGTTAAGATATGAAACGAACCCAAATGTCCAAAAACAGAAGAATGGATTGAAAAAATGTGGCACATATACACTTCGGGATACTACTCAGCCATAAAAAAAAAAAAAAAAAAAAACAAGACTCTGGCATTTGAAAGGAAGCAGATGAATACCAAAGATTTACTGTGAAGCAAAGCAAGCCATACCATGAAAGAGAAGCATGGTGTGTCCCCACTTAATATATATCAAACGTCTGCACTCTATGGTAGAAGTGGAAAGACTGTAAGATATAAAAGCAAGGAGAACAACTGTGGATACTAGAGACAGTATGGGGAGATGGTAGAAAATGGGAAGGTGAGAGGGAGGGATTCAAGAGGAAAAAGAAGGAAGTAAAACATTTAAAGAAAACACAAATTGAAAATTATCTGTTGATGATAATATGTATAATAATATCTTTGACTGGACTAATAGAGTATTTATACTGGGAAAATTTACTTCATATATTTAATGATATACAGTGATTGAATGTATAAAACTAAATAATAATAAATAAATAAATAAATATGCGCCTCGGATGATTCTAATGTACAGACAAGGGGGAGAACCAAAGTTCAGGCACTGAGAGGGTGTAAGTCAGGAATGTACGGGAGTGTAGATCATTCTTTCACTAAGTTTGACAGATGAAGAAAGGAATAAAGTAAGCTGTACATGTACCAAATGGGTTAGTCGGGGTCAAGGAAGATGTGAGGAAGTCATAGGTTGGGATGAAGTAGCCATGGGGAAGAAAAAAAACAATGACATATGTAATTAAGTTGGGAGAAAAGAGAAGGAATAAAAGGAACTTAGTGTCTCTCAGCTTCATTACATAGCAGCTATTTTCCTAGGCTAGTGCCATTACTATTCCTTTTACTGCCTTTTTGAGGCCTATCTGAGAAGTTTGGAGAAGCCAAGTAAATAGCAAGGGCCCACAGCCATACCAGTGCCTGGAGTCTTTCTTCTGCATTGGCCGTTAGGCAGATATGAGGCCCTGGACACAACTGGAGGAGTCAGCTTGGAAAAAAGGAGACAGACAAGATGTAGAGATGAGCAAGAGAACACTGTGAAGGCAGCACATCAATATGGAGAGGAGAGAGTGACAAAACAATAGTGGGACAGAGAGGAAAGCGGCTGAGGCTCCCAGCAGACTTCCTTCATCATTTCAGTAAAGTTGGGCACAGTAATTCTCTGATAGTGAATGCTGGTGGCTTGGGTGCCTTGTGGTACACACAAATGAGGCAGAAAGCTCACCTTGCCTTTCTCTCCCAGTGAGATGTGGATTAGTCATTCAACTACCAATTTGTCCCCTGCTATACTCCAGGAGTCCAGTTGAGGTGAGCTCTCTGCATCTGAGTGTACCACAAGGAGAAAAAGCAAGGTCCCTACTGTCTAAAAACTGACAGTCTGAATTACGTGGAGCAACTTTTGATTCTCTATATGTTGAAACAGTCTGATGAGAACAACTACAGTACAACTGAGTGAGCCTTTACTTTGCAAAGGTCATAGAGAAATATTCTGCCATTAAATATCTCATGTCACCAAGTTCTAAAAATAAATCAGGGTTGCATACCTTCATAGATATCCATGAGTTAAAGGAAACACACCTTGATCATCACAGGAAGCATGAACAGGCTGAGCATGAAAGATAAATTTCCCATCTGCTAAAAGAACCAGATGGGGTCTATAGTTTAAGAGCAGAAGGGTATGTTATTGAATAAGAAACATTAGGTTCTTAAGTCTACGCAGGTGCCCCTGAATATTCAATCCAAAAGGATCATGAAAGCATCATGGGAGGGACCAGCAGTTAGTGTAATGGCTATGTCGCTGAACTCCCATGGAGTCAACCACGATTTGAGTCCCGGACCAGGTGGCTTAAACTCACGCTGGGCACATGTACATGCGTGCCTAAGATCCCTAGAGGAGAATGGAGGAGAAGGAATTGTGGCATGGCCATTCCCACCTGGTGTGGCCATCCCCTCTCACTTTCTGTCTCTCTGTCTCTCTCTGTCTTTCTGAAGAGCGCACGTGCCCTATAGCAAAAACCTCTCCAAAAAAAAAAGCATCACAGGATTTTGTATGGTTTCCTCAGGTTTGGCATGTGGCCGCTACAAAATATGATTTGTCAACTAACATTTCCAGAGTGGCAATCAAATCAAACAGGAAAAGCCCAGCGTTCTAATAACCTTTTTTCTTTTTATTTTGAGATTCAATCATCTTTGTTTAAAATATCCTCTTGGTGTCCCGCTGGGTTCCATAACAATCGCATGCGATGATATTAATTAATGGCATCAAACAGATACTAGCAATTTCCTTATTCAGGGCTGTTTGATTCACGCAGCTGCTACTATCTGTTTCAGTACTTTTTTAGTAAGAGAAAATGTGCGTGGTTTTTGCAAGAGAAAAGGTGGTGGTTGTGTGTGGTTTTGTTATTACCAAAAGGGGAAAAAAAAAAAAAGAGCATACTCTCCTAGTGAAGATAAATGCTGTATTTGCGGGAACAACAAATGTGGCTTGCTTATACACCACCAGTGTGTATGCAAGATATTCAGTGGCAGAGAATAAACACAGAACCCTGGAAGTTTGGGCTTTAAGTATTTAAAAAGAAAGCAAAACCTCCTTGGGTCATCACTTTATTTTCTTTTGCCCCTTCTGACTCCTCCTTCTCAGGGAAGGTGAGATTTAACACCCTTGAGGTCCCTCACATACTGTCAAACAGCTGTTCAATGTTACTCAGAAATAAGGAAATTTAACACTGAGACAACTCAACATCTCGGCAGCCCAGAGAAATATCATCTTTGAGATCATTCGACCTGAGACTTTTTTTTTATTGTTTTGTCTGTTTTCCCAGTCGCAATAGAAAATGAAGGGACCTGACCATGCAAAACTGATCCGGAGTGAATCAGTTATTTCTTCTGCACGTCTTCGTTGCGTTCTCGCTGCCCCAAGTACCTTGTAAAACTGGCAAGCTCTGGACATTTTGCATGCTGAAGAAAATCACTGTTTTGCCTCCAGCAAGGAACATAAATGTTGCAACACTGACTCCTCCTCTAATGAAGAAAGAGTGAACAAGTGCACCGAGTTGAGCTGCTTCTCACAGAGCCACTGGGCTGGGGACAGGGGAGCTAGGCTGAAATCCCCAGACTCCCGTCTTCTGGGCTGGGCTTCCCCCCTTCTCTTTCTGTCTTACTTGCTCCTCTCCCTCTTTCTGGATTTCACGTGCTGCTCAGGAAACGGCTTTCCACACAATGGATCTCCACGTCCCTGTGAGGGAAGTGCTCACGGCCTGATATGGCAGACTTTCCTCCCCGGCAAAAGTGAGTACTCACGGCGGGCTGAGCCTGAGCCTGCGGCCGACCGCCTGCGGCCAGGCTCTGCGCGGGCACCCGCTGTCCCCCGGCTGCGGGTTCGAGGCCGGTGTGAGAGAAGGCTGCGAGCGTGCCCACCAGCAGTGCTGCTCGGGGAGACATCAGAAAGCCGCCCGAGCCGGCGGAGGGGTGTGGGAAAACCCGGGCGCTAGCCACGGTCAGCCTCAGGTCCCTTCCGGGGAACTATTGATAGCAACGCTCCGAGGTGGTGTGCCGCCCCCACTCCAGCGTTTACTACCGCGCGCCGCACATGGTAGGCTTTCTAAAGAATGAGTTTCGGCGTGATCATAGCATTTTCGGAATATAAGTAGCACTTTTGAAATATAAGTCATTTTCGTCCAAATTATAAGTCATTTTCGTCCAAATTATATAATATATGGAGGGGGAAGGGGCTCCTCCGACAGGTGTGATGACAGCCAGACCTGTGGAGTCGCCCACCCCCAGCCTGGGCCTCCCAGGTATCGGTGGGAAGAGCTTAGTGTTACCTGTGCCTTCCCGAAAGGTGTGTCCCCTCCACCCACCCTCGCAAAGGGCAGCGGGAGTAGAGGCAGGTGAGCAGGCTCCGGGTTGTAACCCGGAGCGGGACAGAGGCGGGTGGACGAAGCAGAGGAATCTGAGCCAGAGAGGGAGCTGGAACAAGTAGCTGCTAGGAGTGAGCTGCCAAGTGGCGGGGGCGGGGGGGGGGGGGGAGCCAGGCGCGCGCACG